GCAAAATACTTCAACCTTGTTCGTGCCATAAAAGAAAAGCAGTATTGTTACTAACTACCAAATATGAATATCCATCATCTCATCAAAATAACAATGAGAACTTTGAAGTCGAAAGCAAAACTAAGATTAACTGCGCCAGAGGCCAACGAAACAAGACCGCAAATAAAGAGAACGCGAACCTTGAGATCCGTATCTGAGAAAATCAATCGGACATCGAATAAAACTTGACCTAAAAATGTATTTGATGAAACTATGCCAAACCAAACTTAACCCATGATAAAATTAATATTATTTGGCAAAAGGAAACATGGCGAATGCACATATTTATGCACATATACACAGATATATCATAAGGTAGTTTATAGCATATCAAGCAGCTTGCGGCCTTTCAGAAATGAAGGGTCTGTGGCTTGAATCATCCCCAGACCTTTCATTTCTCAGATGTAGTATGGCGCAATGAAACTGCCGCGTTGCTCCAGTGTATTGGTGGATTTCACATGTCCTGAAAATAATTTATTATTTAGCTATGAAGATTTTCTCACACCGTTTTCCTTCACCTTTGAGCACGCGGTGAATCAGCAATTTTGACAGTTCTATTAATGCCGGCGGTGCTCGAACTTGGGTTGTTCGACAGTGAGATTTACGGAGAGCGCTTAGTATTATTTAGCTTAAGCCTTAGCTACCAAGACTCTATATATTTATCACATAAGAATTAAAAAAAATATAGAAAAAATACAAAAACACTTCTTATATATATACAACATGTAACAAAAACCCTGTGGTTCCCGTTAAGTACGTTATCATGATCAGTATTCAAACCTATAGAAATAAACTTTTTTTTAAAAACTCGACCAAATTTTTTTTTTAATTTTATGTGGTTTTATTACCTCTTACTGACACTAGCCGATAGTAAAGCGGGGTCTTTGACAATCTTCTTACTCCCCAGACAATGCAGAGGTAATAAAACCACATACAATTTGTGGTAAATAAAATAATGACTTTCAATAAGTATTATGTAATAATCCATATTGAATAAAAATCATTCTATTCTATTCTATTCTATCCATACAATTTTTTTTAAATAAAAAAAATATTGTTTTAGTTTTCAATAAAGTTATTTCTATAGGTTTGAATACTGATCCTGATAACTTACTTAACGGGAACCACAGGGTTTTTGTTACATATTGTATATGTATGCAATAAAATTAACTCTTTTGACACTTGAATGTAGAGTAGAACAATGAACAAATGCAACTTGCTTACTAACTATTATTCGATAGTAGGTACCTACTCTTACAATCGTTACCGTTACAGGCTATTAATACGTAGTGTTTTTTTCAGCGCGCCTTTGCATAGGAATTTCTTTGCCTACACAAATTTACAGTGACAAAGTAGGAAGTAATTATTCTTGATTCATATAATTTAAGCAATTCTAAAAATAAAATTCAAATAAACAAAAAAAAATTAAATCATTTAAAGATTCAATAAATTGAATTTAATTACCGATTATTTGAATATTACTTTTAACACTACTTAAAGTCAACAGCTGAACATAGGCCTCCCCCATAGACTGCCTTATAGGGGGATATTTTCCATTGTTGCCACGTTCGGCAAGCAGGTCGGCATCCGTATTTTTTATTTTTAGTCTAATTCTCGTCTAAAGTCTAATTTATTTCCCTCTGTTGCCTTTTACGACACCCACAGGATGATATGGGAGTAGTGGATATTCTTACACCGCTACTACATGGTCTTATAACTAGTTGCATAATAGGACATTTTATTCTAATATTCTTCGATGATATAACATTAATCCTAGACGTCTTATGTAAGATGTTAAGCAAAATCTTAGAGTAGCCTTACATAGACAGCGGGAAGCAGTCATAACTTCGGCATATAAGCTCCGTACAAAAATGTCTAGTCATATGTTAATCATCTTTAATATTATACTATCGTTAAGATTTTGTTTATCGATAGTCTCTTTTAGATTTTGACAGATATTGCTAATACGCGCATTTGACTTGTCAATGATGATACAGCCATTGAGATATAATGTACTACGTACTAGAGAAGCTATTCCGAACAAAAATTGTGCACTACTCTATGTCTTCGCGCATGCGCGGTAAATAGTACAGTCGCGCATGCGCGGTTTTTGTCATCATAGATTATATGCGTAGGTAGAATTATCAGCAGCATGTAATAAGTAATTGTTTATTTAGATTGTATTGTTAATTATATCGAGTACAATTTCTTAATTGTTATTTAATTTGCATATGTGTTAATTTTATATAATATAACATAATATTATGCCAGAATTACATTTTATTGATATTTTATATAATACTTTAAAAGGTACATATGTAAAATATAAAAATATGCATTTATTTTCAAAGATCATTATTATTACTTTTCTAGCATTCTCTAACGTAATTTATACGCAGCTGGTGAATAATAGTGTAAAATCAAAGCGAATTTACGTAAAGGTGCATGCAGTGTATAATTAATAATGCGTGCTCTGTTTGTTCTTTTTCGTTAAAGATTTATGTTACTCCATAACTTCTACTTTACCCATTAAATCAATCTCAGCATTTAAGTTCAGACCGAATTTATGTTTCAAATTTTCTATAATTGATTTGTAACTAGCACATTTTTTCTTTAGATAAATATTTTGTCTTAAATTTCTCAGTAAGTTTCTTTCTAGCTGCAGATTCCTTGCTATTAAATACAAACACAATATTACAACGTGCTTATATTTTATTATTTTTATAATAACCTAGAATTATTGATTCCGTTATCAAGGTAGAACTATATTTAAAAGCTCAGGCTTCGTATACATCACTCAAACTTAGCTTAGAAGACATCACTTGCGTAATTTATTTTTAAGTACAATTTTGCTCGGACTATCTAAAATTGAATTTGTCCTGCTTATTGATTCAGACAACGATTCTGATACTTCCTGTTCACCACATTTTATTGGCTGAAAAATAGATACTAAATATTTGGAAAGCCTGCAAAAATTCTAGTGTTACAGTATTAAAAAACCGTCATATACTAGAATGACTCGCACGCCGAGGTTTCCGCCTCTCTTAAGTCCCGTAAATATACTGAACATTACAAAACATTCGTTCGTCGTCTAATCAAAAAATAAAACAAAAATCCCAGCAATGTTGTATAATTATATAATTACATTGTCGCATGGTACTGCTTATTTATTGAAGTACACTCTTCCTGTTTTTGCGGTGTTTTTGTCATTTTTTTAACTGCACGGAAAATATGCGTGAATAATCTGACGTTTCTTCGCTGCAATTCTTCTGAACAAATTTGATCCATGATTATTTTGTTTCATGACACAGCTGAAGAAACCATTAATTAAAAATAATAATAAGAAATATTAATTTTAATGCATTAACATTTCCTACAGTGATTATATATAAATATTTTACTGTTCATAATTACTTAACATTATACGTCGATAGTGTCAAGTCTGCGCATAAAAATGTTTTACTCTTTGACATTCACGTATACGTTGCTGTTGATAAAATATAATTAAATTAAGCGTGTTTTAAAGATAATAATAAGTTTAAATTACTGGTGAAAATTCACTCCTTGACTTTTCCTTATATTTCTCGAGTAGTTTGAACAGTATCTCAATGCACACGAAGGCATATTAATTTAAAAATAATTCTTCACTCTAACTTCTCACGTTGCAACAACCGCTTGACACAGACTAAGTGAGTTTGAGAGCGCGCACTCTAACGCGTGTTACAAACAATCGAGTTGAGGCGTCTTCTCTAGTACGTAGTACATTATATCTCAATGGATACAGCAAGGATGAAGCGGCGACAGTAACACCATTGTTTATTTACAGTTTTCTTTGTTATGTAGATATTGCATTCATGCGCTATTTAAATTTCGTCAAGCTATTTAGTTTAAAATGTGGTAATTGACAAAGAATATTAACATAAACTGTAGCGAAGTAAAAAAACTAAATAAAATAATATTCATAATTATTTATTGTAATATTTGTCCCTTGTTTCAATAAAAGATTTATTCAAATTTAAACCAAGTTAGGAAATTAAAAAAAACACTTCATCTTTGCTAAAACTAAAAGTGCTTTAGAATTTACTATGTAGAGATCGTCTTATTTAAAACTGCAGGCGCCTCCCTTGTATTTATGATACATTTTATGATATGCCGATTAGTGCCGATTTAGATTTCATGATATTTAATAATATATAAATGTGACGAAATCTACCAAAAATCCTCAAGGAAAGTGCGTGCAGTTTTAAATTAGACGACTGTATAAGGACCACGTAGATAGGTAAATAAACTATTACATTAATATGACTACTAAATCGAAGAGAAGTGGTGCCGCTTGACTCGAGGCTGATCAAATTAATTCCTTTGCACGATACCTGAGATAAATTTTAAAAATAAATAAACGAATCAATTTATAGGCCCGTTCACGGCGTACATTAGTCCTTCTTATTATTAATTTGATAAAAGACCGCTATAACCTGCGAGATATCGAGCAAGACATCATCAACTACTCGAGCTGACTATTTAAACTTCTCATAAAAACGATAACTTGTTTAATTTGTTCCTTGAATACCTATATTGCTCAGTTCAATAAGACATAAACATGAAAATTAAGTAATTGAAAAATCTTCATTATAGTTTTATAAGCAAGTGAAGAGATTATCAATGTGTATTCTCCTAATTGAGAAAGCCTACATTTACTTCACGTTTAGTTTATCATTAAGAAGGATTAAGGAGCAGAGCACCGGTTATATTCTATTGAGTCCAATTATGCGCATGATCACTGATAGGCAAATAATTACCGGGACCACAGAATAAATAATGCTGGGACGATAACAACATATTATTTAACTTAAGACAATTTAAATAATAATTCGGCAAGATAAATATAATATAGGATAATAGACGAAGATTATATCGTAAGAAAAACATTGCGTGACGTTAAATTTAAATTAACTTTTCAGATCTCAACGCACGAATGGCATATTCCACGGCCGTCGTTGTCGGGTTGTAGCACACCAGGCAGCATAGATGCGCGGTCGCGTGGCGGCTCTGCCTCAAGTCAAGGCTCTTCTAGTAACCACAGCACACACGTAAGGCTAACTTATCATACTTTATAATCATCCGCCTTTGAACCTGTCTCCGCCCACTATTAAATAAGACCATATTTTTCAAGACGTTTAATCACATAAAAAAAGTAACATCCTTTTTCTTATTATCGTGACTTTTTGTTAATTGATGATTTCTGGGGTTAAAAACCTTATTTTATTATATACCAGATCCGGTACACGACTTTGAAATTATATTTATTGCAACATTTTTTACTCATTTCGTCGTCGAGCGTCGACGGCGATAGCACATTTTTTTTAAATTACAGTTTTTATGCCAACATATGTTTTAAAATAAAACTACTTTTTTTCTTTGAATTTCCTTTAAGGCTTGCCACATTTACCTAAATTAACATTATGAAAAATAACTTTAAATATGTATAAATTACGTATTAATGTGAAAATACAAAGAAAGTGTAATGAAGCAACATGGTTTCTTCAAAATGTCCGGAACCTCAAGAAAGATTAATTAGATTATTCTATGAATATAGTGTCAAAAGAAAAATAATATATTATCTACTCATAGAAGTGTCACTTTTGTATATTTTTTATAGCAGAGTAACAAACAATACACAGTCCACGTGATGGTAAATACTGTGGCCCATAGATTAAGAATCAAAATTCAGATGCGTTGTCCCCGTCTGAGGACTAAGATGGAACGCCTCGCTTCTGGTAAAAAGGGTCTCCGGTTCTCCACACTCACCATAACAAGCACAACAGTATTAAGCTATTTTACGCTAGTATTCTGTGAGAGCGTAGTCCTTCCTTGGTCGAGCCGACCCATTCATACTACAACTATAATGCCAGCTTGGCTATACCACGTAGAATGACCATGATGAAATACCTTGTTACCAGTAAAAAAGGTCTCCGGTACTCTACACTCACCGTAAGAAACAGCAGCATTATGCTGCTATTCAACGCTGATATCCTGCTCTGACCCAACCATAAATTAGTAACCATTTCTTCGAAACAGCCGAGGATTCAGTTCATCTTTTCCAGATCGTATTATCTTACAATATTTTGAAATGTTTCAGAGTGCGTCATCGGGCTCACTATTATTGAGTGCAGTACACTTGGCTCGCATGAACGGCAAGAACACTGGCCAAGGCGAGTACGGCTATCAAAATAAATCAATTGGCTTTGGACGTAAGCCGCAAATGACTAGCACTGTGATGGCCATTCCAGAAGATTCCCGCGAAATTACCGACAAGTTTTGGAACGACGTAAAGCGGGGATCCTCATCTGGGCAAGACGTTGCATCGGTCGCTAGCTCAACTCACTTCACAGTAGTGAATGGATTCACGAAGCAACGATCCGACAAAGAGCCGAAGTCTTGTTGTTGTAATCACTCCCACCAGATCACTGTGCTAGTCATATCAATGACTATACTGCTCTCCGCATGTATCCTTGCGGCTATTTGCTTTGTTGAAAGTAAGTAAAAATACAATACAAAGTTATACAATTTCTTATATTGCACTTTGCACGTTTACTTCATATTTATGTATTTATTATGGTCAATAACTAAAACTACTAATTTTTAGACATTCATAATTATTAATAATAGGTATTATAGCTTACTTCAGATTTAGGTGCTTTTATCCCATAATAACTACAATTCCTCACTTAAATATGTATATTGATACATAAATGCAAAGACTAAAGCGTGATGAATTAGGGAATCATCAATCATCATCATAGTCATAATTACAATCCATCACAAGTACACTGCTGAACATAGGCGTCCCCAAAATAATGCCACAAACAAAGCACCATCCTGAGTCAACAGCGTCTATCGATTTCAAAACACTGTCGAAACACCGGTACAATATCATCTAAATGAATTAGTAATATTTTGAATAGATTTTTTTATTGTTCATGATCCAGTGAATATTTATGAACATTTAAACTAAAATATTTCGTCTCAAAATTTCAAAATATGCTATAGTTTTGTGTTTAATTTTCTATAGGTTAATTTAACATAAGAAATTTAAAATTTTAATCGTTATTATTGTGAAATATCTGTTATTTACATTTAATTTTTTTTTCATTTTTTAGTGAGAATGCGTAAGGAGACCGGCATCTACAGATATTCTTAAGTTTACTGCCAACTATCGAGTCGCGAAAGTATTTAGTTAATATTATATATTAGAATTGATAATTTCTAATATATAATATTAAGTAAACGCGTAAATATGTAATCCACAAAACTACAATGTATATGAAAGTTATAGAAAAGTTTAAAAGCAAAATAACTCTTAAAACTTCTTAACGTAAGAGCACGTTCAAGTAAAGATGCTGTCAAAAGTGCAATAAATAATTAACCAGTTTAAAATTCGAACAAAGTAGATTATTAGTTACGTAAGTTAACAATTATTTATTTTCAATGCTCAAAATTGTAACCAGTAATATTGTACATTCAACGTGTATTGTGACGTGACTGTGATGTTTATCGTTTCTAGTACAATAATAAAACGTAGATTCCAGTAGATTCAAATCTTTTAAGTAATGTTTGACATTTTTGCAAATTGATGTGTAATATATTAATCTTAGTGTTTTTATTTATGATTATTTAATTAATTACTAGTATTATTGCAGAACAATCCAAGTAATGTTGTGTATGATGTACATTAATGTAAGAATAAAGAATAAAATATGTGTATTTTTGTATACCTTATGAAAATGTACATATATTTTTAATTAAATGTAGTTTGTAACTTACTTCGCTGCTAATAGTTATATAGAATTGTAAAAAATAAAGAGGTAGCATAATTTGGAAGGACTGTGATAATTGAACACAAATAAATATACTTACCTTGTATTGTTTTCAATATTCAATACTAATAAACGTGTACCTACATGAAAGGCTATTTGTTTACCCCCCTAAAAATAAAATCACTTCAGTCTTATTATAATAATTCAGCAAAAAGAAATAGAAACAGCGCAGGGCAATGGTCATATTTTAGTCATATTTTCAGTGGTCATATTTTAATCTATCCAAAAAAACCTATTCATATATATATATATATAGAATAAATATACCTAACCAGGTTATATTCGTAGTTTCAGTAAAAATATCATTCAGGAAGTTACTTCTGATACCTACGACATACTCTTTATATTTAATAAAATGGATTTTATCAAGCTTTAATTTTAATAAAATTTAATTCCCAATGATGATGATGATCATCGTCATTACTATACTCTTTGGTCGCAGGTCTTGTCCACCGTTTGATCCGGAACGTTAAAAAAATGTAATTGCAATCATCAATACTTTGATGCGACCCGGTTGAAACGAACGAATCATTCATGATTGACACATTTCTACGGCCCTGTGTAGCCTTGCTATGCTTTGCGACAGTCAATCAAGTACATTTAATAATTTAGCTACAGAAATTATATTTTGAATATTTTTCACACACGATGTATATAACTTTTCACTAGGCGAAGGGTCTATAAACTGTGTCAACAAAAAAAAGGACAGACGCGCTGTTGCTGCTCCTAAAGGCAAGTACAACTCACGATGAATATAAACGATGTTGGAATTCATACAAAATAAACTATTAACTATTTAGAAATACTTTATCTTACTACGAATGACCAAGTTTTCATTAATTACATACATATTGTAGATAAGCCACGACACCTTTATAAATAAAGGATAAAATATACAATACCGCAGCAATATCGACAATACTCTAGCATATAATTGATAGCTCAGTGGCGCAGTGGCTTAGCATTGAGTCGCGGCGCTGAGGCGCACAGGTTCAAATCCCTTATGGATAAAGTATTTGTATGGCCTACAATTAATTGTTCCGGGTCGGATGTTTGTCCTTATGCAATTTATGTATGTAAACAGTCTCCGTGATACAGGAGAAAATCCTAGTGTGGGGGTAACATATTTTTAAGAAGAGAAAGAGATATAATTCTGAATAAAAGTAAAGTTACCAGCTTACATACGTTCAACAGCTGGGCCCATGCCCCTTCTCATTTATGAGAGAGTTTTAGAGCAAGGAAATGTCCATCATTAGCAAATTAAAAATCCACTGCTAAACATTTGCTACAGTCATCACACATGGCAGATGGGATCATGGCACATGGCAATTTATTTTTAGTTCTTATCAGGAAGAATTATACTGTGGTTATACAAAATCGTAATTCGACCCATGATCACATACGGTGCTCTGGTATGGTGCACTAAAACAAATGAAGCCACCACCGTTAAGAAGCTTCAGCGTTACCAGAGACTAGCATGTATAGCTGCCACGGGCTGCATAAGAACTACACCAACAGCAACCTTAGAAGCTATACTGGAGTGAACCCCGCTTCACCTACACATACAACAAGAAGCGACTTTAGCTGCCATTAGACTCAAGACTCTAAATCCATGGAATAAGGGTAGAGTCCCCCATACAGGTATAATTGATAGAATTTACTCCAAAATTCCTATCTTACAAGTCATACGATAAGACTCCTAAACAATTTGTGTTTGATAAGAAATACAAGATACAATTAAATTAAACAAACCGGCCGGAGGGTTTTACCCCAAAAGAACTCAGAATTTTCACAGATGGTTCCAAAACAAATGAAGGTACATGCCATCAACGACTAAATAAGTTATGTAAACACAACAATGTGACTCTGCAATGGATAAAGGGACAAAGATGCAGCAGACAAACTGGCCCGAAGAGAAGGCTCTGGCCACTATAGGGCCAGAACCAATCATACTAATCCCCTTTGGTAACATTCGTGCACTGGTATGTAGAAACTTCACTAATCAATATGATCAGCTTTGGAAAATCATCAAAAGTCATTTAACCAAGGTTCTAAATGAGATTGAACAAGCCACAGATCAGGATAGTAACAAGTGCAGGACATGGCTCCTTAAACAAACATTTATTTACCATAGGCATTACAGATAGTTTCTTCGTCCCTGTCGTCTGTATGAGGGAGAAGAAACAGTGGCCCACGTGTTGCTGACATGTCCGGAGATCGCTGCATACAGGACTAAGCATCTCGGCACCCCGGGATCACTCGCCGAAGTTGCTCGCAACATCAAAAGACTGTTGAACTTCTTAGGGGAGATTTCATAGCTCGAATAATTACATTATTCCTGCCCACACGCAAAATACGCGCTTAGACGTGGAGTTGCGAAAAATAGCTCGTCGTTATCTATCTATCAGAAAGATGCTGCTGCCCATCTCCGTCTCATTTTTCTCTGTGTATCCTACGAAACGCACGGGATAATATGGGCACTGAAAATAGATTTCACTTATATATACCCATTATACCCATTCCTTACGAGCCAAGCATCGCGATTCCCGACGAATTTGTAATTGTAATTTTGTAATTTTATGTAATTTTATTTTCTGTAACTCACATAGTAGCAGAAATATGTCAGAATAAGTACTTTACCTAAGTAGCTTACTTGCCATTTCACAATGTATTTTTTACTCTTTATTAACTAACAGCCCTTAGTAACCACGGAAAGTCCGTTGTGACGTAGGAAGGGGAAAAGATGCAAAGTAATACGGACACTCGCGCGCAGCGACAAAGTTTTTTTTTTTTGATTAATCATAATTATGTAGGCTATTAAAACATCGGCAAGCAGTCAACATCTCAAAGTGCAACTTCTGTACGTAGTACTATTATTTATTCTGTGACATTACTAATATTCCCTTTAACTTCTAAGTAAGTAAGTAGTGGTTCTTTTTAATAGAATACGGGTGACAAACGAGCACACAGGCCACCTGATGGTAAGTGAATGCTTTGGTCTATAGACATCATCATTTTTCCTGCATTAAGAATCAAAATGCCTCGTTTCCATTAAAAAAGGGTCTCCGGTTCTCTATACTGCTATATTACGCCGGTATTTTTTTTTTTTATAGGAGAGGGGGCGAACGAACATGCGGCTCACCTGATGGTAAGTGACTATCGCCGCCCATGAACAACTGCAACACCAGGGGAATCGCAGATGCGTTGCCGGCCTTTTAAAAAGGAGTACGCTCTTTTCTTGAAGGTCCCTAAGTCGTATCGGTCCGGAAAAATCGCTGATGGTAATCGATTCCACAAGGAGGTCGTGCGAGGAAGAAAACATCTTCTAAATCGCACAGTGGTGGACCGCCAATCATCCAGATGGTGTGGATGGTATCGGGAGTTCTGCCGCGATGTGCGTTCGTGAAATTTGGCGGCTGGGATTAATCCGAACAATTCCTCAGAGCACTCCCCATGGTAGATGCGAAAGAAAATGCAAAGGGATGCAACATCTCTTCGCAGTGCCAATGAATCGAGCCGATCGGAAAGGGCTCGGTCGTCGACAATTCGAGCCGCTCTGCGTTGGATGCGGTCATGTGGAAGGAGCTGGCACTGGGGAGCCCTATTCTGGGACAGCGTGGTACTACCCCGGTCGAGCCGACCCATTCGTGCTACAATCATAACATAGCTGCAGCGTGGCTATACCATGTATAATATGATCCATAGAGAAGGCGGATAACGGATTCGAACCCACAACCTTTTGAGTTCGTCGTCCGCACCCAGCCATTAGGCTACTGTCGCTTACTATACTGTATTCTATCTCATTCTTGTAATCAACACTTGTAATCAACCTCAATCAAAGAAGGCAACAGATCCATTGTAATTAAAATGGATTCCTCACAGGTGATAGATTCTCTAACACGGCCACCACATGACTAATTAATAGGTAAAACAATTGAGTTATTAATAGGAGGATTACATTGAAAAGTATGTTTACACATCACAGTTTTATTTAAACACACACATTAGTAAATACAAAAACTAAAATTAATTTAGTCTGAGAATAAACCAAAATTTAGACATCCAGTAATGCCATCGAAAATTCTTTAGAATTCCCCCTATACACCTTACAAAACAAGTTAGATTTTAATATGTTACTTACCTCCACTTCTTCTAATGTCTGTGTCCACCTGTAATTCTCAAGATCACATCCATTGCCAGCATTTGGTTTAAGTTTACCCTTCTCCTTAGGGTCATCATCTTCATCTGGAATACTGTCATTTTCTTTGTCACTGCTAGCACCTTCACCAGCTCCCAGCTCAGATTCTACAATTAAAAATTGCAGTAGTTTGAAAAGATATTTAATTATTTACTTAGAATAAAATTACAGACAATAACATTTTTAGCATTATGTTATGAGTACATTAGATGTACATTGTATGTTTTATTGTTAGTGTTACTAGTAATCATTTTTCATTTTTAAAAAAATGCATTTTTAGTATTATGTTATGATTACATTAGATGTACATTGTATGTTTTATTGTTAGTGTTACTAATATATTAATTAGAGTTATTCGAGTTTTTAATTAACTAAACCGACTTTCAGCTAGAGAGATGACTACATATTTGTGCCATTTGCTGTAGAGATTATTGGTCTGTGGAGTCCATGGGCAATGAAGTTAATAAAATAACTGAATCTGCGACTGGTCGTCCCTGCTGTTGATAAGAGGTCTGGTTCTTTTCTTGCTCGAAGGCTAATTATTGCCATTCAACAAGGAAACACAGCCAGCGTTCGACATTCGACCGTAATTCATTTAAGTTTGAGTTTTTTTTTAATAGGATATGGGTGACAAACGAGCACACAGTCCACCTGATGGTAAGTGGTCGCTGTGGCCCATAGACATCTACATCTATCTTCGATTAAGAGTCAAAATGCAGATGCGTTGTCACCCGTGAGGACTAAGATGGAATGCCTCGTTTCCAGTAAAAAGGGTCTCCGGTTCTCTACACTCACCATACGAAACACAGCAGCGTTAAGCTGCTATTTTACGCTGGTATTCTGTGAGAGCGTGGTCCTTCCCCGGTCGAGCCGACCCATTCGTGCTACAACCATAATATAGATGCAGCATGGCTCTACCACGTATAAGAGTTTTAAATTCTACTTGAGTAATATACAAGCAAGCTGTATTTTTCAATTTCAACTGCACCTTGACAGAAGTGTAAATGTTAAATATATATAAAACACAGATATTTATTATACAAAATATAAAATAAACGCTTTATGTCTTAACATACACTCCACACATTATTGAAAAACAAACATTAGAAATCACAAAAAACTCACAACTTGCTCAGCCAATCTGTCTGTAATTATTTGATGGCAACATTTTTAAATTCTTTAAATAATATTTTGTGGTATTTCATAACAGCAATAACATAACATTTTAATGTTTATCAATACTAACATATTAATGTAATTAAAAATTAAAAAGTGTCAGTAGCCTAATGGCAGGGCACGGATCGCGAACTCGAAAAGTTGTGGGTTCGAATCCGCCATTCGACTACCGTCGTGAATCACTTCTAACACAAGCATTTTAACCAGAAGTGGTTAAAGGGAATATTAGTAATGTTTATAGCATTTCTTGTATTTAAAAAAAAATGTAGTTGTAACAATTGTGTCATTTTGAAACAATCATTAAAATTGGAAAGAAATAAAAAAATTCAAGGAAAAATAAGATACTTGTTTATTACAATCTTTTGTACACAGACATTGTATCTGTGTCAGGGCTATTCTACTTATTAAACACTTTCATAATGAAATTGGCAAATGATTAAAACTGCCATAAATAATAATATTAAGAAGACTTTACTCATCTGCAATGTTCAAGCTTGCTTATCAAAAAACCGCAATAAAATACAGAAGCATTATCTAGATGGAGAACTACATGTGTCTGCAGCCCTTTATTTTGCTTTCAGCGAGACTAACTACAGTATATTCATACCGCTAAAATTACACAATATATTTACAACTTAAATAGGTTTTTTTTCCTGACCGGCTCCATAAATTGAATTCCTTAGCAGAAAAGGAGCTACCACCTAGTAAAATATGGGTATGATATGTTTATACATTCTAGAAGGAACATGGGCTTAGGACTGCCGGTTTTTCGTTCTTGATAAAACTTTCAGAGTATGAGCTGTTGTAATGTGCCAAACTTTTATTGGTAAGTATATAAATAATTGTGACTTTTTTTAAAATAGCTGTCAGTGCATCTATAAAATATGTGTATGATTTAGTGGTGGGTCGTTGTTGAATTTTTGACGGACGAAACGCAACTGTTTTTCCGACGTCGAAAACGGTTGTCGAAGACGGCTTAAAGGACGAAACTTATCCAAGATGTAATAGAATTGCGTTTACGTCGAGTGAAATGGTTGCAGTTTCTTACAACTATCAACAATTTGAAATGTATGAAACAGTTTACTAAATAATTCGCTTTATCGATCTAAATTACTAAACTATGAAATGAATCCTTCATACTTTTCCAGGCTTAGGACTGACTAGACAGACTTATCTTTTTACCAGTCGTATTTAAAAGATCATTTTTATATACATAATTGTTTTAGCCCAATTCATAGTTCATACAAGTCGACTTTGACCTCTATATCAACAAAGTAAAATAAAAAGTCGCACGAAATAATTCCATTACTGGTTTGTGGAACGAAGACTGTTTGAACCCAGGATGTAAAACAGTTTCATCGTCGCAAATCACAAAACGGTCTTTGTAAACGGTTCATCGTCGCAACGCCAACCTCTAGTGTGATTATTGCGGGAAAGTGTTACAATGTGGTTGAACTGTAATTGCTCTATACTGAATGTGTAGTGTATTATGCCGTCTTATTACTGATAGTGATTAATTGCGTAAGCAAGAGAGCAAGTCCAACATCCGCTGTCACACTTTTATTTTTTAACAATTAACCTTCTGATGTATTCCCGATATTTCTGACATGCCTGTATCAAAAAATAAATATAAAACTAAATAAATAGTACCTTATCCTTGAAACTTACTATTCTTGTTATCCTTTTCAATGTCCTCTTGCATTTTGGCAGCCTCCTGGTCAGTAATCTCAGTAACAGTAGCTGGTTCAAAATCTTGTGCAAGCCTTTCCTGTTCTTTTCTTTGCTGTATATCCTTCAACCTTTTTTCAGCTTCATCTTTCTCTTTTTTAATTTTTTCAGCCTCATCACGTGCTTTCTTTGCATGTGTATAAAAAGTGTCTTTCACTACCTATAAAAAGAATTTTACATATGCAATTAGTTTTGATTATCATCTGTCGTGACTACTAGTTTTCTACAAATTTCAAAAAGGAGACAGTACTCAATTCGATTGTTTACTGGGTGATCCGATTTCAATGATTATTTTTTTATTTGAAAGCTGGTGCTTCACATGTGGCGCCATATAAGTTTTTGAGTTATTCTTAATAATTTATATTGAAGTCAGTTGTACAAAATTTTTAATTTTAAATTATTGTTGCAGCAACATGTCAATAATTGTAAGAACTCTTACTTATATTCATGATATTTGGAGGAGCTATACTACAACGAGATACCATTATAACAATAAATTGGCTATATGGACAAAAAATAAGATGGAGCAAGGCATCAGACTACTGGCATTTCCATATTGCTTTATTCTTTTTTTTTATAAAGGATAGATTTTAATATCTGTTAGCCACATGATATAATGTCTGATGTAACATTATATTAGAAACAGGGTAATACACAATTGATTTATAAAGAGATTGGACACAGAAGCTCTACCTTCAAATGTTATTAAAACTCTAACTGGTGGTAGAGCTACTGTGTCCAATATCTTTACCACCATATAGCCACATATTATTATAACAATAAGATGGGTTAGCCATTAGGCCAAACTAGACATATCCACAGCTGTCACAATTGACACTCGCCCGTGTTTACAATTAAGGGTTATCGGATATGTGTAAATGATATGCATAAAATTAAATAACAAAAAATATATAAAACAACAAAAATATACAAATTGAACAATCAATGTGTTAAGGTTACTAGTAAAGCCCGACTGAATGTTTATCTTGGCAAACTTTATATATATATTTAGCTTCTGGTCAATATTTAACTTTGGCTTTGACCAACAACAACATAAAAATTATTTTTTTGTTGTCATCGGATATAGTAGTACAGTATACCGACCAATTAATAAAAATGAAGGAATCAGGTACCACCTCCAAAATATGTGATCAATGATCATCAACAAAACTTATGCTTACATAAAACAAAACAATACTAGAAAATTTATATGAATACTTTTTGATCAGTACTTCAAAGTTAAAGAGCAATTAGTTTAGGCTGATCAAAACTAATCAAAGGCCAAAACATTGTCATGTGGCATTCTCTTCAAATAATCTCTTGAAGACTAATAACTATTATCATTTTAGCCTGTCTCATGAACCTTTGCGTCCTTACTGGCCTCATCAACCTTTCAACAACCTTAATCGGTCTCATGAACCTTTGCAGCCTGTAAGCTGTAAGAGCCAAAAAGCTAACAGCACAAAAATCATCAGAAACCATAGACTTTAAGCAACAATATCCACAAATGTTGTAGTACACAAACAAATGTTGTAGTACAGGATTCATATGTGGTAGAGCCACTCTGCAGCTATATTAATTGTGGCACAAATGGGTTGGCTCGATTGGGATAGGACCATGCTCCCACAGAATACCAGCGTAAAATAGTAGCTTAAGGATGCTGTGATACATATGGTGACTGTAGAGAACTGGAGACCCTTTTTACTGGAAACAAGAATCTTGGTCCTCAAGAGGCAACACTTAATTGAGGATAGATGTAGATGTCTATGGGCACATAGCATCCACTTACCCTCAGGTGCACTGTGTGCTTGTTTGTACCTCTTATATTATAAAGGAAAAGGATATGATTTAACTTAATGCTACGATTTATAAACGTTGTATTTTGCATTATGTTAAGGTTTTAATTATGCTCAAGACTTAACTATGCTAAGGAAAAAATATATGAAAAGTTCTTTACTTGTATTAATTTAACATTTTATAGAATTATGTAGTAATATTGGAGACATTGATAATAATACCAGCGTAAAATAGCAGCTTAATGCTGCTGTGTTTCGTATGGTGAGTGTAGAGAGAGAACCGGAAACCCTCTTTACTGGAAAAGAGGCATTCTATCTTAGTCCTCACGGCTGACAACGCATCTGCATTTTAAAGATACATGTAGATTACAAAGATAGATGTAGATTTCTATGGGCCACAGCAACCATTTACCATCAGGTGGACTGTGTGCTTGTTTGTCATCCTTATTCTATAAAAAAATAAAAATAAAAAAACACTAAATAAAAGATAAAAGGAAAATTGTACACACTTTCTCCCATTCTCCGTCTTTCCCTCCAGTGAAGAAGTCTGTTTTGCGGGCCAAGAATCCAACAATTGTAGAAAGAAGCTGAAAAGGAATATTATTGTTTGAAATATAATATTGACTTGAAAAATATGGCTCTGACTACAATTTCTTTGTCATAGAAGGTTCTTGCAATTGATAAAAACTAGTTTGTATCAATTTAGTTATAATAAATTTACTCATACTAATAACTAAATCCTTCTTTTATGTAATAAAAGAATAATAATCCTCCTTTTATGAAAGGAGTGTAAACATCCGTTATAATAAGACTATTGCTTGGTCATGCCTGCACATCTGTTTTCTTAGCAAAAATTCATGTAAAGATAAATCTGTGCAAGTGTGGCTTGGATGAGCATATTCTAGAAAACCTATTTGTTGAGTACAAACAAACAATCTCTATATATGATATTTTACCTTCTTATATTCAACATGAAACCATATTCTTTTTTATTAACATTTAATACTCCTTTTGTTAATGTGCTTGCAACATTTCTAATAATTTATAAATAAATACTAATATTGTGAAATAATAATATTATTCATAATTATAATAGTGATATATTTAAATCCCTCAATATGTAAATATATGTATCAAGTCAATGTTGGACGTACCTATTCTGACAATTTGTTGTAGTTAAACATACTCATCAACAAAACTATGAGTGTAGTGTTACTAACAACTACCAGCATGGGTGCATTATGGACGTTACACATAATAGGGAGACTTTTTAGATCATTGAGTATAGTGTTAAGATCCCACCAGATTTTAGCACTTATACATATTATGTATTTCCGAAATACCTACATAATATTAAATAAATAATTTTTGGCCTTGATTTTCAAAGATCATGAATACTTACTATAAAGAATTTTGAATACTGTCTATGAACTAGGTGGGACTACTAGTTCTATTACTGTATACTTGCAACAAATATTCAGCTATTATTCAGTATTTGGCCTATTCGGCTACTTTTATCCTATTGGGCCATATACTGAATATCTAGGTACTATTGTGTTAATATGATATCTTAATATATTTAGTAATCTTAAACTCTTATTTTTTAGGTACTTCTTGGGTTATGCATGAAATCATGTCCTAAAACAGTAGTTTCAAATACACTGGCAGTTTTCATAAGTGATATTTATATTGCTCAACCTTGACATTGGCAGAGAATTATCAATTAAACAATGAAGATTTTTTTTTTTAAATTAAAAGAACCGTGTAAATACATATACATATTTCTTCTTTGCTCTGCCAGTGTCAAACCAGTCATGGGAGTGACAAGTACCTAAATATTTATTACATTAAGAATTCTCAATTTTTTTTTAAATACCATCACCAAAATTGATTAGTAATTTTACAGTTTAATATTAATAGTATGAATAAAATACAACAAAATATTTACAAAAAGAATATAGACCAGGGACAACAAATACTGGAAATGTACAGGACATGGGACTTAATTGGACAGGATACTGGATATCATAGAGAGAGCGAGAAAGATAAGGACACTCAAAAAATAGTTGATTTACAGATCCTTCATCTATTCCATGTTCACAGATTGAGCTATCTATAATTCTCAGTTTAGCCAAGTGTACCGGAGTACTAGCATGTCCAAAGCAAAGGCTACAAACAGTAGAGGTGATTATTTTACTAAAGTGACGATATTGAAAGATCCAGGGTTTTGATGGGGTATTAATTTGGACTTTGGAAGTGTTTATATTTTTAAAGTTTAGACTGATGCCAATTACTTTGCCATATACATATTTATATAAATTTATGATGTTAAACTAAAAATAAATATGTGAGTATCACCAATCATGAGAGAATCGACTAGCCCTTATCAAGCCAAGAGGTAACAGAGGATAATGAAAGACCATCTCTACTTTCACCAGCAGCAACTTCTATCCTGCTTGCCAAGAGTCGTTTCTTTAGCAAATATCCTCCCTGTGAGGCAATTTATGGGTTTATGTTTAGCAGTTGACTTTTGTAAGGCTGTTATGAACGAAGAAATACTATTAGAACATACTAGAAAATTTGCTACGAAACGAAACTATCATGAAAATATATTTCTATTTAACATATGACATATGCTGGTTGAGCAGAAAGTTCATAATGTACTTCTGTGCACCAAACAATTTAAATAATAAGTATTATGTATGTGCGCAACACTGTTGAAGGCTGACTTTTAGAAAGTACTAGAAGGTGGCTTCAACCGAAAATAATATTAGCACGAGTGTATATAGTATATGTTATTGTGAATATATTTGCCTCAGGTAATAGTTAAAGAATAGAAATTTTACTAATAAATTTTATTTAACTTACATCTTTTACACCACCTTCATGTTGTTGTGCCATTGCTAACAGCATCGAATCAAATCTTTCAGGGTCGTTAGCCATTGTAATAAGCTTAACCTTAACTTAGATATTCTGAATTTATAAATTTCTATCGTTGTTATTTTAAATATTTATTTAAAATAACTTGCTTTGGTTATATTCAAATAGAACAGAATCATAGAATCATAGACAAAAGAATATGTAGAACAGAATTGTTCCCATAGACCCTCGATTTTTTTATTAAGATTTTTGGCTTGGATGCTTCTCCTCTTAGAGTACTTATAAGTTCGGGTTAATAAAGAGTACTCTGTGGTCTGTGCTTTTGAGCATAGAAAATAGAGGAGATGACAAGCCTACAAAAAATCGTGTCAAATTGAAACAATAAATGGCGGATAATGTAAGTTCCGCCCATTTTTTAGTGATGTGAAGTCAATCAACTTTTAAAATTTAGTAACACCTATATGTATTTTTATTTATTTTAAATATGCAAAATTATATTTTCTCTAACGATTAGGGAGACTAGGGGAATTTCGCGTGAATTTAACCGCCATATGCTTGCTGCTCCAGTTTTATCGTTTAAATAATAGTTTGAAGACGATTTTGATGATAGCAACTCGTGCTTATAAGTTGTAAGTTAGCAAGCTAGTTCCCCTGACTTCAAATTATACAGAATAAGCTTTACTTCTGGGCTAATATGTTACTATATAAAGCCAGGATGGTTAAACAGATGGAGTTCTCTTTTTGAGCTAGTAGCACCCCCCACCATTTTTTTCTACTATTCTGGCTTATGCACCAGTTTCGTGTGGCCGGTTAAGCTAATATCTTTTGAAGTAAAAACTACTTTAGAATCGCTGTGATTTGAATATTATTATACTTTACGATGCACTTGTTTACAAATTATCATATCAAATAAATTATTTACCGTGAAATATTTTTTATTTTATATCCACCCCGGCTTAGCATGGGTGATTTCTGGATTTTGGCAAAAAAAATCAAGAAAGACCAAGTGAAATAGACACAAAATAATAAAAATCTGCGGATGCTAAACCGCCTGCCAAGCGTGGTAGCTGTGGCAAAATGCCCTATGAGGCAATCTATAGTAGAGACCTAGGTACAGTCAGTGGCGGATTTGCACATTTGCCACCAATAGGCTATTCTGATTTTTCCGCCCCTACCGATCTTCTACAATTCGATGCCCTAGTTCACAATCATATTAATTACAATTTTTTGTCAATTAAAATGTCACTTCATGAATGGTGCATTATCGTTCTAATTACACCACCCTTTTCTCGTCATTAATATAAAAGAACTGAAGCGGTAAGCTTCTGTGCAACATTCAGTAGCCGCAGTTGCTACAAAATTTTAAGAGAGGACAAAGCAAGGAACGGAAAAAGCAATAGGTGCTTGGCTTTGAATTTCAGCCATTGTACACACACCAGGTATGTTTGCGGCATTATCGTACTACGGCAAGAACCCTCTTCAGAACGTTTTTCCAATCAGTAATTTTCCAAAAAAATTATGCCATAGAAATATTAGTACGCATTAGAAATCGCACCAGGATTTAATCGAGGTAGCTTTTACTTTGGTTTTGAAGTAAATATATCTATCTGTTTCGAACTCAATGCCAACACGCAGCGTACGCCTTCAACAGTATGATCCTGCTAACATGAATGTAACTCCGTTTCCGTATAATTTAGTTAATCATTTATGCTCACTGCTCAGACCCATGACACCGAAGTAATACAATGCATAACGCAAAACTTTTTCACATAATACGACAGAATAAATCAAGAAAACCTTAATAAATTAAGTTCCAGAAAGAATTTATTGTTAGCAATATAACATCATTATTTAAGAATAACAAAATTTTATAGATACGCAAAGAATGATAAGAAGTAATTAAGTAATATGAATTAAATATGGTAAATAATTACATCCATCTACTTACTGTCGCAAAAGATATAAACGTTTTTACATTATATTTACAGCAAAAACTAAATCACTCACATATGGAATGATAGTTCGCGTGATTTTTGATTATATTTTGAGGCACAGCCTCTTACACAACACTTATTTATCTTCGTACTTTATAATGAATTGGAAAATTCACTATAAAATGTTTATAAATTCTCAAAATTTTGAAATTAAGAAATATCAAACGACTTTTTATAACAGCAAATCTGAAACAATAAATGGCGGAATCGGCCGCAAGGCGGGGTTAAATGACGTCATCTTAAAAATGTTTACCAGAATACGAAACAATTTCTATTATCTGTTTCATTTACGAATGACACTTAGACTTACACTTCGCTGAGTGAAAAAGAGATAGGCAGCATATTGACAGTTCAATGTCGAATATAACCATATTTGTATAACCAATAAAACATATAGACGCTCTGGGCAGCTCCTCTATTTTCTATGCTCAAAGTTATAAACACAAAAATGTATATTGTTGGTCTCATTTGATGATGGTTTTCTGCAATATAATTAAACATTATATAAAATATAAAAATGTTCAGATATTCAGTTAGTTCAAAAGATCCATCAGTAAGCATTTTTTTATGATTTAAAAGAAAACTACATAAATCATATTTTAATGCAAAAATCTTGGACATGGTCAAATAAAATGACTTATTTTTTCAACTTATTGAAATATGTAGTAACGAAAGCACAGAATAAATAATAGTACTACGTACAGAAGTTGCACACTTTTGATGTTGACTGCTTAGACTGTTAGATAGGTACTAACAAAAACATGAAATAAATTCACCTTTCACTATCCTTCGGTAACTTAATAATATATCTGTATCCTTTTGTTTGCTCATTAGGAATTTATCCCCACCCCGCAACAATTATAGTAGGAACGACGTTTTGTCATTATAATTTATGAAATAGATACATAGGTAATATGCATAATATACATTATTCTGAAATTACATTATAACTTTTTCAACTATTTTATCCTACAATTAAATATACTAAACACTAAACAAAATTATTTCGACGAGTATTTCAACAAGTATTTAATAAAAAAACTTACGTAAACAGCGTTAAAAAACTTTAACATTCAATGGCCTAGAGCGCGCTAGCCCCAACTGCGTTCCAGGCTGGTGCAACTTCCATAGTTAAAACTATATGTACTACAGGGGTCAAATTTTAATGACGGTTATCTCTTCTTTCTGCTTTTCGTAATATGTCTATTAACGACATTGTCAAATCAAATAGGTTCAAATGTCAAATGAAACAACTATATTTGTATATATTTTATTTAATAAGATTGCTTTTAATTTTGCTATAGGAGCCGTTGTTCATTTACAGAATTGTTAAAAAATAAATATTCAGTATAAAACTTTCCAATTAAATGGTGCAAGAAGCGGAAAAAATGATAACAAGAAAAGGCTATTTATTCGTAGCAATATTTCCCTTAGATGATGAAAGCTATGTGGTGATTTCAACTTTAAAAGACAGTACTATGATATTTAACGCGAGTACATTTTTGGACTAGCCATCTACGTAGGACAGCTTTTTATAGTGTACGATTGTGTGCACAAATACAAACACACTATTTCCTAAATCTGATAGTTCGATGGTATGGCAATCCGAAACGAACTATACTTAGAAACTACACAGTCAATTGTGACTGCTAACATTCTATTTGTTCAATAAAAATGTGATTTTATTTATATTACTTTTTCAGATGCAAGCATTGGGTGAAATAGCTGGCACATGTACCAATTGAAAAGATTCACATGATAAAACATATTTGTGGCAAGCATTGCTTTTGAACCCAACTAAAACGAACTGTTATTTCATCAGTGGACTTAATTTAAACTTCCACAATTATGTGTATGTTTAGGTTTCATTTATATGTAGCAAAAATAATATCCCTCTAAAGTGACATGTTGGTAAGAATTCAATTATATAAATAAACTCAAAGTTATTTGTAATTACCTGGATGTAAATAATTTTTTTATAGATTCATCTATAAACATTAGTTATAATGAGCACTCATTTTGAAAGCGACAATTAGTAAACGATCTCTGCGAATAGTATGTACATAGCTACCTCTGTGAAGAAGCCTAGCGATTTGTACATAGTATGTCGTGAAGCGACAATAATATATCAAAAAGAATCTAACCTAAGAACAACAAAACAACAAAAATACAACAAAAACAGAAATATATTCAAAATTCAAAGATATTTACAATTTTATAAAAAAATGAAATGAGGATGATGATGAATGAAGTGAGAGTACAATTAGATTACAAAAAAAAATATAAAGGTAGGAGAATAGGGGAATATAGAGATGTAGTGGGGCCTAAAAGTCGAAGCGACACACGTTGCGATTGTAGAGGTAGGTTTCTTAGCAGCGACGATACGCAGCGCCTGAAGCCAGCACACGCCGGTTGCGCTTGTAGAGGTAAGTTTCTTAGCAGCAACGGCACGCAACGCCTGGAGCCAGCACACGCAGCGTCCGGAGCCGGCGCACGTAGCGCCTGGAGTAGGTGCGCTCAACGCTTAGAGCCAGCAGTTGCAGCGCCCAAAGGTAGCGCCGGCGGTAGGTGCACTCGGCGCCTGGAGTAAGCAGTCGTAGCGCCCGGAGTAGTGTGGCCCCCGCGCTTGTAGTAGACTTCCGACGACTTCCGAGGTAGATGGAGGCTTGTAGGATTCCGGAGTGGTGCGGCTCCGCGTTTGAAGAAGGCTTCGCCGAAGACTTCACGTGTAGGTGGAGGCTTGCAGGATCCCGGGGCAGTGCGGCCCCGGGATAAGGCCTTTAGGAGATACTTCCAATTCGCGAACTGAAGCGAGACTGCCTTTCTTCACCGATTGTTCGGCTTTTATACCTTTCTAGAGAGAACGGAAAAATTATTTAAATTAAACGCAAATTTTTTGTAAATGGTCAAGAGAAAAGAGTATTTATGTGGAATTATCGAAATAGGAACAACAGATCGGTAGCAAATTTGAATATAATTACTATGGAAACGAAATAAATAACAATGACAAAACATGTCAAATTTTGGTTTTAGGTTTATAATAAGAAAACGGTAAGATTTAAGTGGAAA